GGTTATACTCCTAAAGTTACATATACAATTGTGTTAATTCCTCAATATTTGATAACTTATTTTAATACTTCTTGCTGCAGTGGTGATGTACACAGTTTCGTCGTGTACGGGATACTCACGGCTGCCTGTTTGTTAAAAAAATAGCAAAAAGAAAATATTATTCACTAAGATGCCAGATGAATACTTCTGGGGACTTTGGGAGGAAAAGTGCAAGATGACGGGTATAACTTGAGGTCTACGAAATGTTAGGTCAAAACCTCAGTTATCTAATGCTGGGTGTTGCATACACAAGACTGTTCAGTTTATGAGTTATTATTTAGTGATTTATTATTCAATGATTATTTAGTTTTCTTAACAAGAAATGTAAAAGTTAATTATTTTAAAAATGATAGTTATGACAAGTTTCATTATATAAGTCTGTACGAGTCGTATTTGTATATTGTAGTTTAATTGTTGTACCAGATTTTTGTCATATTATTGACGTCATCTTACTTGAAACTATTAAACTTTTCTCGTTATGTGTAATATTGTTGTTACTAGAGGGCTAGATATGTCTAAATTTTTCTGTCGCGTTTTATAAATTCGTGCAGATAAAGAAAGCTGAGTTAGTGAAAGTGAAAACAGAGATGAAATTAGACTGCATTATCGTCAGTTTAGCCATAGTGGACGATTTCTAAAGTGAGTTTCACATCTTGTATTGTAATAACAGAAGGAGAGGAGAATGGTTTGTCTTGTCAAAGGGTATTCTAAAATAATTAAACCCGCCTATGTTGACTTTGACAAAAAAAGAGACAATTATTTAAAGCCCTGGATACAGTTGTGATAACCAATAGTGTAAATTTTTTTTGTACATGTTTGATTTGTTTTGAATGTATTATTCTAAAACAAGTGGATTGTGTACTGTCCGTTTATTGTTGAAATTTATCGCCAACAAGTCATAGACATCTATTGTAAAGAATCCGGACCCTATAAAAACCTGACACAATGTTTCTCAACGTTTTCAGGAAACAGCTTGCTGCCTCCCTAAGCTGTTGGGGTACAACAGAAATCATAACAATGTACATGCGAAAATTTTTCCTTTTTTGTTTGTTTATGTTCATGAAATCATACTCAAGGACAATGTGTTTGTGACGGGCTGGCACTGGTCCGCAGACTGGTAGTTGAGAAACGCTGATCGATGCTCGTGACAACTAAAACACAACTATACCCAACCAAATAGGCACTTGTATATGATTAACCAGTTATGCTTTAGAAATTAAGATAATGAAAGTTATTTTATTTTATAGTTTCTTTGTTCATTTTTTTCTTCACATAAGTTATATTCAACCTTATGTGGGTCGACGTTTTAAACTTATGGTATAAGTCATAGCCATTTAACATTTTAATATCTAGTTTAATTAACACTCCGCATTTAGAAGTCATGTCAAGTCGCCCAGTTAAAGGCCTCACAAAGAAGAAAACTTAACGTTACCAGGAGATTTAAAATAATGGCTTACCCAAAAGTATGCCAAAAAAGAAAAAGAGATTGTTTACAAGATGTGCATATCTCAGCATTACATGTTGTATATATTCAGCGTTTTGGTATATTTTAGACTTATTAGATACTTAATCCAAAAATATCTTAAATAAAAATGCTGTTTTAGTCTTAACCGACCCAAAAAGTTAAGTGTTTCATACACAAACTTCCGTCAGCTGCAAACTTTTCACTTCGAAGTTCGACAAGCCATGGTTCAATATTTCTACCTAGACGCCCTCTCGTATTCTGCTCTTGTATTATCTCATCCAGTGATATTCATAACTTAATGCTTCCACTCAGAATCTCGTAAATTTAGGAGGAAGTAAGAAAAGTCTGCTATAATGCAGTATTGTTTACAGGGGAGTCAGAACTGCCAGTCACCCATTTTAAAAACGTAACCACATTTGATATAATAACCTCATACATAAACGTAACAACTTAATATTTGTCAATCTTGTCGTCCTTCTTGGCTTAAAATGCCCTTAAATGTCACTCAGTAACTGATATGGTAACACGTTATGAAACCCTAGATCGCTTTAGAAGAAATGAATACTTAATTTCGATTTTCGATCAAAGACTGTTTCAGGGTGGACGACGTGTGCCCCTGCATAGGACGCCCAAATCGACACTGCAATCAACAATTTTGTCAATTTTACAAGGGCACGGCCACCGAATGCAAAGTTAGCACGGGCCGTAATTTTAACCTAGGGCCAGCTCTAATATGCTTAAATTGGTTTGTTTATTTGTTACATAATTCAGCGTTATTTAGTGTTATTCAGGAGTTATCTGCTCATAGCTGTGCCTAATTTTAAAATGATAGGCTAGAGAAACGGCAGCTAACCAACAGCACTAACCACCAACTCTTAGGCTACTTTATACTAATCTTATAGTGCAACTACTGTTCCAAAGTGAAGGGTCAGGTTACGTTTTTGCAGCAACAGATTGCGAACCATGAATTCCCAAATTCCTAATCTGGACACGCTAACCACCAAGCTATACCTGGTCCACTTATTGAAGATAAAATAATCAGCATGTACTTTTTAACACACACACAAATATATGTATATATAGATCCAGTACATTATATTAAAGCTTAGATATATATATAATGAGAGAGATCAAATGCTTTATATTAGAATTATTTTGGAGCCTCTCCACATTGTTACAATTCAATTCGCTATATCTGGTTGTGCTCTATCAGACCATTATTTATCTTGACAAACCAATCATACCACTCTTCCCAGAATGCTTTCCATAAACTATTAAATGTACAAGGACAACAATTTTCTAAGTGCTACATCCAGTGACTTGACTGGTATTTCTTCATTTGGGATAGTATTAATATCCATTTCATTCTATCAGCTGCTTGAGGTATGTGTGACAGTTAAACTGCAGGTATGATTAGAAGCTTATATTGATTAACCAATACTTTGTTGACCACGGTTCCAGATGAAGATCCTTTTTTATTACATTGTGTGCTGTTGTGTGGATCATGTAGACAGCTTTTGCCACTGACCTTTATGGTCGTCGATTCTCACCTGTTACAAGAAACTGCAATTTGCTTACCACAGCAGGGGTATGACATCATTGCAGATCTCTTTCTGGGTTATCCTAGTTCCCCAAGTTGATTCATATTCCTTTGTTTTCCAATATCATTAAGTATAAGGGATATCCCAGTCTTGGAAATTCCAAATTTTGAATCTAAATACATATTCATGACTTGAATGTATTTTGCATCTGAAAGAGCTGTTACATACACTTCTGAAAAACAATCAACTTTCAATGACATCACACTACCTATGAAGTATGAAAAGCAAACAATCAGAAGATGTAGTTCTAATACATTACATTGCACTGCAATTTTATATTGCTGTGTTTTTTGTGACTTGCTGATTTGTGCATTCAGAACCATTTTAATATAGCTTACTCTACTCTTTTTATATATATTTACAGAGAAACTGGTCTCTTCATGTCAGCATAAAACTGAAGAAGGTATGAAAGGTATTAGATTCAGTTTACCACCATCCATGTTGTACCTCTACACTTTCATTGTGACCTAGAAATTAACAATGATTTCAGTCATCTGATGGCTCAGTGTTAAGTTTGAAGGCTTATAACACTAAAATACAGAGTATCTCATTGGTGGGCACAGTGCAGTTAGCCCATTGTGTATCCTTGTGCTTAAACTGACAAAGATTTGTAAAATTCAGTATGCATAAAAAAATTAAATGACCTAATTTTTATAAGTAACTTTGATCTTTGAACTTGTCTTAGAAATAATCAATATTTTCTAGCACATAAAATATCAGCATTTTATACTAAGCCTTTATAAACTTGCTATGTTACCAATTACCGTGGACACTATCAAATGTAAATTTATAGATGCTTGCAAATAGAAATCAAGCAGAAAAAAAGATTAAAACACAAATCAAAATATATGTGAATAACAAACGTCTGTGTCAACAACTTTTATACTTTTCTTAAAAGTACAGAGTTTGAACACTACAACTGGTGCATTAAACCTATAAGATATTTAGGTTGGAGTTGTTAAAACTTAGAAACTACTTTGTAAATATTTAATTTTCACAAAATATGCTACTAAACAATAATTGAAAACTGTGGAGATGTAACTGAAAATACTAACAGAGTAATGAGGGTCATTGTTATTTCCAGTCTAGCCCTTCATGATTTTTGTTATGTATTTTCATCATTGAATATGTGACTAGTACAGCTGGAGAAACAGATCATTTAGTTCTGTTGTATCAAGTACTGTCAATGTTCTGACAAAACAGATAACAAAGCGTTTCCTGTGCATTAGCAGAGTCACATGTCTGATTTAATTCCCACAGTTCTCCAACCAATATATACTTCTTTTTCATTGTGTCTCTCTGAGTGTCTTATAAAAATGATGAGTCTCAGCAGCCATACATATGCTCATAAAATCATTTAAATCAGTTAAAAGAGGCTGAGTGGAAATTCAAAGATAGTTGCTTATTTTAAAGAGAAAGATCAATGAATTTATTTATGAATAAATGTCACTTAATGCTTCAGTGCCTATTAACAACAATATTTATTCTTTCTTCTCAGTCTCCTGGTGTGACAGTGGTATATGGTCTTAAAACACTAAAATCCAGAGTTTGATTCCCTGCAGTGGACACAGTTTTACTGTGGATTTATATTGTACTGTTTTTTTAATATTTATTGTGTATTTAATAGATTATCTCACATTTTTTAGTGAAAAAATAGGGATATGTATTTCTACATTTAAATTAGAAATATTCTTATAAAAATGAAGAATCAAATCTAGAAAAAAAAATTAGCATCCTTGGATTAAAACACTAGTGCAGACCGAGGACAAATTATTTTATGGTTTTGAATAATTACTGAAATAACAGCCTTGATCTGATTAATTGATTTAAACTTTAATAACTAATTCATTGAATTAAACATTTAACAAAATATTTAATTTTTCTTCTTTTTTCAGGAGAGTCTGGTCTTGGAAAGTCAACCCTTATCAATTCTATGTTTCTAAGTGATATTTATTCAAATGAATATCCTGGTCCAGCCCACAGGGTGAAGGAAACTGTGCAAGTAAGAAAGAGAAACATTAGACTTGTGTATTTTGTAACTTGGTTACCCCTAATTATAGTTCCAGCTCAGGTGTGATAAAAGTTAATAGCTAGTCGTACACAGTGATGATGAATACACAAAAATTCAAGATACACTGTATTCCTCATTCACCAAAAGTGATGAACTTAAGCTTGCAGTCTATGAATTAAAGTTATTTTTGTGAAATATTTATGTGCATTTTTAAATAGAAATCACTGATGAAACATGCATGTTTAACTGAAAAGTGTCAAGTTGATATTCAGAACATATTGTAACTACACTAAACTATTACATTTTTTTTAACATTGAACATAATTGTTTTCTTTTATCTGTGTACCGGTGGTAACATATATTTCCATTTTTTCAGTCATTATTCTTTTCTATCTATCTATTGTTGTGTATCAATATATCCTGTTTCTATATTTATTTCTTTAATTGAACCTGCCCATTTATCTCTCAGTTTTTCTTTAGTTCCACATGATGTGTACAGTACCAATTGCAATAAAAACTTTTTTTTGTATTTATGCTTCATCCTGCTATTTCTGTTATTCATAAAATATATTATTATGTTTTAATAGTACTAGTGATCCATACTAATGGATTAAGTAGTCTTAAATGCATACAATTAAAATGAAAATATTTAAATCAAAGTAAAAAGGTTACTTAGCTTAATTCAACCTTCAATCAGGAGCAAGGAAAAATAAGCTAAAAGATTTTCCTTTATGATTTCAGATTTTGAACTAATCAGATACCATAAAGGTACTGAATTAATTACAGAAAATAATTCCTAACATTTTTGTAAATTTATTAATTCTTTGAATGCTATAATCAGATTTATCCGACTTGACATTTATAGCCATTTGTTGTGATAAGCGAATTTACCCCAGGGTGTCACAAAAACATTTTCCTCCTTGAATTTTCCACCTTAGTACCAAGCGTGCATACATCACCGAGAAAAGGTGCAACTAGTGGATTTTGATATTGAAAAAGTACTAAAAAAGGTCAAATTCTAAATTTCATTTGTTAGTGGATAATTGACACTTTTCGAGAACCCATCAAACTTAATTACACACTTAAAGCATTAAAAATACAAGTGACTAAAATCTATATAGTTTAATTATACCTATTATTTATATAATTTGTAGAATTTAATTATAAGATTTTAAAATGTGTTTTTATGTTCTAAGTTTGGATTTCAGTTTTTTTGTTATTCGTGAATTATTTGCCTGCATCTATGTTTATGTGGAAGTTACAGTTTTTTTTTAAGAATTGTTATTACATTTCTATTTTGTGCTTGTATGAACTTGATTTTCTGAAATGTAGCTGTAAAACAATATAAAATGCTATATTCTTTGTTTACGTATTGTCACTGTTTATTTTATAGGTTGAAACCACAACAGTCCTACTTACAGAGAATGGTGTTAATTTAACTCTTACTGTTGTAGATACACCAGGGTTTGGAGATGCTGTAGATAATAATGAATGGTAGGTAACAGTTAGGGAAGTTGCCAAAAAATAATGCTTTGATTACAAAACAACTGCAAATGTGATAGACAAACATGGAAATTATTTTTGCTTTTATTTTTACACATTTTTGCTACTTAGTTTGAGTATTTTTAGTTTTGAGGTAACAAGTAGTTATGTATTTAAAGATCATTTACCTCATTTTGTGTCTTAACGTAATTATTAATATTAATGTTTTTTTTCTATTTTGCAGTTGGCAGCCAGTAATAACCTACATTGAAAATAAATATGAAGAATATCTGAATGCAGAGTCAAGGGTTCATCGTGATGCTATAGTGGACTCTAGGGTACACTGTTGTTTATATTTCATTGCACCATCTGGGCATGGGTAAATATTATCAGCAGTCAATTTTTTATTTAAGAGAATCATTTGATTTTATAAAAGGTACCTCTAGTTTACTGACTTCAAGAAATACTAAACTTAAAGGTGCTGTTTTGGTAATTGTTAAGTTTGTTTAAAATTGTCACTTTTTTCACCTACATCAGTATAATTGTATATTTTGTTTTGTTTTATTGCATCATATAACAATATTTACCTTAAAGTAAATGTAATGAAAAAATCAAACTTAATTTATCAGAATTATGATAGTTTGTATTCCCCTACTAACTAAGCTTGTTTTTGACTTTCAAGTGTAATAGTTTTTGTTTTCATTCAGTTTTTAAGACTTTTATTGTGATGTCTTTCTACAGATTAAAAACACTAGACGTTGAATTCATGAAAAGACTACATGACAAAGTTAACATAGTTCCTCTCATTGCCAAAGCTGATACAATGACTTCTGAGGAATGCGTTCTCTTTAAAACGACAGTAAGTCAATCAACTCTGTCTTGGTCTTTGTGATGGCAAGTTGATTTTACATGTTAGATCAGTGAGCTTTCATTATGTAGTTTAATGGCATATCTTAAAGGCTAATTTAACATCAGAAAATATTTCTGTATGGATACACTAGGAAATTGCTACACTGTCTTAACTCTCATAATATTTGCTGTGAAATAGTCAATGTACATTATTACTTACATGCTGAATACATTTGAAAATCTTTTGAATATTTAAAAACTGTGACATGGAAATCTTGGTTTTACATATAAACATTCAGTTTTCATGAATATGTTATTTTTGAAGTGATTATGGTCATAAAATCTCTTCTGATTTTACTTATGAGCTTGATCAATATGAAAATGATTGTGGAGTTTGAAACAAGTGATAGTTTTAGTCTTATGTATGTGGATAGGCTTTGTGTGAGCAACCCTGCTTTCAGAGAATGTTGCATTTTTATTTATGGAAATTAAACTTCCAATAAGAACTATTCTGGAATTATTTGGTGGTTTTGTTTGTGAATGTGGTATTTCATAAGACTTTTCTGGGAAAATTTTAAGTTATGATGGTTCTGAATTAGTTTATGAACACATTTTTCTTTACAGGCAACAACATTCTGAGAATTCTTGGTTTTGAATATAAAAATCTTATCCACTATGTCCAAGTCCATTATTAGTGATACCACAAAACAGATTAGAACATAAATTAAATTTTCGATGAGGTCACATTAAATTAACTAAAACTTATTGAATACTCAGCACAAAAAATGTCTCGGAAAACAAACTTGAGTGGTTTATGCTGTTCATAAGATAATCCAGTCAGTTGTATTTAAATTTAACCTTGAAAACATTTCATATCTGTTTCTCTCATTGAAATAAATTAGGAATATTTCCAGAAGTTTTTCCATTGTCACAGTTATATAGGAATGAACATCAAGTATTGTAATTACTGTTTCAAATATTGATGGAAAATAATATGTGTATTAATTGTAACTATTGTTACATAATTTGTATCAGAATTAACTTCAGGTATTGTAGCTGTTGTTTCAGGTACTGTATAAGAGTTAATTTCAAGTATTGCAATTGTTGTTTATAATACTGTACGAGATTTAACTTCAGATATTATAA